AGGTGCTGGGATTGGGAGGGGGGCGAGAGGTGATTGGGCTTCAGGTGGCGCCGGCGGGAACTGAGGACCCCGAAGAGAAGCCGGAAGTTTGCCATCTTACTGGTGGGGACCCTGCAGAAGGACTGCCTTGAAAATTTAATCCTTTTCACTGGGTTGATTCAATTGCCCTGTAATGCCTGCCCTTAGGAACTTTAATTGGTTCCTTAGCAGAGGGCTGGAAACAATGAGGTCAATTTGTAAGTCCTGAATGGTTCCAAGATTGTCTGAAAGATGGCAGTGACTTCTTCCATTGGTATTCACAGGAGCATAAGAGTGAGAAAGTTGAAATGGTAGAAATGACAATAATGCAGGACCTCCCTGAAATGAAGGAGTAATGGTTCCTTTTTTGGCTGCAGAATTTGCTCACATAAACAAAGTGGAAGCTAGTCCTGAAATGGGGAGGAGCTGTGTGTGGTGGCTGTGGTAGTGGCCTTATTCATGAGCCTGAGCTAGGATTTGGAGCCCTATATGATTAAGATTATAGTTACACCTTAGCTCTTAATTGTCCCAAAATATGTTGTAATTTGGGGACAAGGTTACTAGCAGATTGAATTGTATTTATTGCACATATTTAAGCACATTCAAATGCCCAAAACCTGCAGTAAAATTTTTTTAAAATCACAGTTCACAGAAGAATAATGTATTTATTATTTCCATAAGATTATAATTATGGAAAATTACAAAGAAGAAAGTGAAAAATCAGCTAAAATTTACATGGCAGAATAATCATTTTATTTGCTGAATAGCATATATGGTATCTGTTTGTATATACAAATAGAAAGATAGATACCTAGGTAAAAATAATTTTAGAGTAGATGGGATAATATTCTACATGCATTTTTAGCATTTAATTAAAAATCTGAAACTGAAGTTACTTCTGAATTGAAGTTTTTGTTTTTAATCACAAAGCCATATTAGTATCTCTCTAGAAATAAAAAATTATGAAATATTTGCGATTCGGTCATTGCATTTTTTTAACTGCATTTTTTCAACATTATAAAGTAGCTACATTTGTTCAACTGTGAATAAAGACCTAGGAGGTATAGACTTTCCTTCCTTCTCTTCATTTCTCTTATGCTTCATTCTTTCAGATACTACTGAGCTAATTTTACTTTGCCTCCTTTTTCTTAAGTGCTTTAAATATGAGCTATCTTGCTACATTTGATTAATTTTTGTAGGACCACCTTAGTTTACAGTAGCAAGAAAGCTGAGTATAAATGAATCATAGATAAACATAAAATATTGGATATTATTATAATTCAAAATGTTGATAATCCTGACTCATGATTTACCAGTTCTGTGTGCAATACTATGTATAAAGTTTACCTCTAAACTATAAATGAATTATTAATGGCACAATTTAGAACAACACAGAAGCCTCTCTTTAAATCAGTCTTCATTATCCACTAAATCTCTTTATAGATTATGCTTTTAATTTCCCATTTATAAGCAGAAAACATTTTGCTTTGCTTTGTGTGTTCTAGTACAGTGAGGCCGTGAGGTGAGTGACTCCTGGCTTACTGTTTTTTAAATTGTAGGTTGTTAAGTAAGATCTGCCAGATCAAGTCCTAAAACTGAGTTATTTTTCACATATTAGAATCCAAGTTGAAATGCTGGCTTGCTTGTTAAGATTTATTAACTAGAGGTTGTTAGGGTGCAGGCTTCCGAGGCTTCCCCAGAGAACAAACTACACAGGCATAGAGATGTAAATTCAAGCAAAGTCTTTATTCATCCAACTAGTTGGGGTCCAAGTCAGCCCGACGCAGCGGGTCTCAACAAGGACCCCGAGCACTCTGAGCCAAGGGTTTATATAGCAATTTCAAAGCACTTAACTCATAGCAATTTTCTATAACTATACATTATTCTTGCAAGACATATATCCTGGGGTTAAGCAAGGGCAGGGTAAGACTACTCCTCAATGGTTAGGGAGGTTCTGCACGATAAGCTTGGTATGTAAGATTTACTGACCAAGGTTAGCTGACCAAGGGTCACAGCTGCCC